CATATTGGTATTGTTAAGAAAATTAATGAGTTTGTATTTAGAAGAGGAGCTTTGAGTATTATCTTGTGTATTAAAATTACCAAGAATAATAGGGTGAATATGAAGTTGAGAGGCTTGTTGGATCTAGTTAATGACAATATTTTGAGTTTGGTAAGAATTTTGTATATTTTTGAAGTCTATTTACTAATTAACAATAATCTTCAAAATTATCTGTTAGTTTCATTTGCCATTTTGACATGGATGTTGTTGAGATATATGGATAAAAGTATTTGGATTTATAGCTGTAATGATTGAATTAATATATATAATTATTTTTTTCATTAACTGTTCATCTTAATATATAGACTTTCAATCAAAGTCAAAGCTTCAAAAACTTTGCTAATAGCATGTACATGAAGACTTCCTCTATGCTGCCACTCATATCAGTACTAATAGTCAATAAGATTTCATTTAGGTATTAACATATGCTCTAGAAATAACTCAAATCGCCATATACAAAACCAAGTTGCTATATGAGGATTCTCTTTCAAATTTTGATATTATATTTGCACAGTTTTTACTAAATTAGAGTCTATAAGTATATTAATATTTGGCATAAGATTATGAAGATCAGGCCAATGCAAATCTGCTGAACTAAAAGTAAAAAATATAAGACTATCAGCACCAATTTGCTTAATTATATCTATAAGTTTACTACTTATTTTCTTTCAATATTGTCATATACCTTACAAAGTATTTCTATAATGAATAATACAGTCAACTATTTGATTATCAGCATTAAGTAATTCTCAAATATCTTCTATAGTAATATATGTATCCTCTAAGTTCTGTTATACATAAATTTTGTCAGCTTCTAATGCTCTCCATCTCAATATTGAATTTAGCACAAAGTAACAGAACTATTGATGATATGCAAACCTTCTATCATGATATTTTATTAAATTCTTTAAGTATTCAGGAGATGCACATGATAATGTCAATGAATAATATGCAAATCCACTTTTCTAGTAGGAAATAATATCGAAAATGCTTTTATTATATAGCCAGTATTTTTGAATTTATTAATAGAAATATCCTCAATAAAAGACTAGTTAATATGTGCAGTATTATTCAAATTAATAAGATTATGTATTTTATTATAAGTAATAGACTCTTTAGTCTCTTTAGACATAAGATTCAGAACAAAGGTATCTGTAATATGGTTATCATATATATCAATAATATTATTTATATCATCACTATTGTTTGAATTAAGTGTGTCTTTAGTTGATGAATTACTATCATGCATAGCATTTAGTCTTTCAAATACAGAACCATTTTCAGGAAAAGTTTGTAACATATCTTAATTGATTATAATATTTGCATAAAATAGATTATTTTTCTTAAAAAAATTTAATCATACTAATATATTTGAATGTTTGACTTTAAAGTCTTAGAATGTAATACAATCTTGTCCAATTCATCAAACAACTAAAATATCAAGCATAATAGAATCTTGAGGCAATTTAGTAATAAATTCTTAAACATCCTGCAAAAAATTAATCACATGTCCTCTATACTCAAGCTGTCCACCTCGAAGATTAAAGATGGTTAACATAGGAAGAACTTGTGAAATTAACATTTCTTCAACTTGGCTAAGATGAGGTAACTCAGATGGTACTTCTTCTGAAAATCAAAAAATTTTATTAGGTTCATAAATTAATATATGAATTTTTATATTAAGCACTTTTATTATATACCTGAATCCATATCATTCTCTAGTGAAAACCTTTTTGGTATTAATTTGTCTCTACTACATTTATTACAATTGCCAGTTTTATAATTTAATGTAATTGAAAGAAAGCATTCTTTACATATAGGACAATAATTATATTTGAGTTCTGTAACTGTATCACAGAATTTTTTAAGAAAATTGTAATCATCATCAGTAAGTTGACAAGCAGATAATACTTTATTTTCTAAATTAAATTATATGTATAATATGTTAAAATTTTATAATTTTTTATAATTATAATTTAGTTAAAGAGTCATACTTTTATTTACATTGTGTCTTTTCTATTTATTTGTTTGTCTTGATTAGTATTTTCCTTTCCTATAATATTACTATTATTAGTCACTAACTGATGCTTACAACAGGCTTGTCTTTTTTCTGATTCATTTCTTCTATATGCTAGCTGCTATTCTTAAATCATTGAATTTTTTCATTTTCTTCTGGCTTTATTTCTTATAGCTACTTGTTCAGGTGTATAAGTTCTTTTGCGCTTTTGCATTTTAATAAAAATTTACCAAATCAAAAAAGTATATAAGCTATTTTAATTGTTATTATTTAATATAATTTTATTTTTTTATTTATTTTATTTAATATATTTGCATTGATACAATAATGTGTTTTATTATAATAATTAATTAATTATTAATTAATTAATTATTAATTAAAAATCAATTTATGCTACTATATTTTATTCAAAATCAATTTCTACTACTATATTTTATTAAAAATCAATTTCCACTACTATATTTTATTAAAAATTAATTTTTGCTACTATATTTTATTAATTAAAAAATCAATTTTATTAAAAATCAATTTTCACTACTATATTTTAAAAGTCAATTGCATTTTAAACCTAAAATTTTGGGAATCAAATATTGAACCTAATTTAGATTTAATACTGATTATTCAAATCTAAAATTTAGATCAAGTAAAGTAGGAGTTAGACATTTTTAAAAATTTGTAATATATAACTTAAAGGCTTTTGCTTTGTTTCCTCAGCTCCAGCCAATTAATACATAACTATTTTGTTCTTGTAAAATGCATCCAACAATGGTTGTCATTTTTTAAGCATGTCTATTCTAACAATATCCAAAGAAATCTGATATTTTAAAAATGTGTCTTTTAATAATTTTTTTATAAAATCTAAAATTTACTTTAAAATACAAAGAAATCAATATAATGTTTTTGTAAAATATATTTATTAATATTTTTCTTCTGATTCAAGACTATTGTTATCAAAATTCAAAGAAATTAGAATAGTATTTTTGTTAAGTATTTTTACTAATACTTTTTTTTTTAAGAAAGCTAGCATAATAATTTTCAAATTATTATTTTTTTTTTTAATTCAAATTATAATAATAAAAATTCAAATTAATATAATATTTTTGCAAAATATACTTATTATATTTTCTTGTAACTCAAGTATTCTAATCAAGATTCAAAGTAATTTATTATTTTTATAAAATATATTACTAATATGTTTTTCTTTTTGATTTAATTTTTTAAAAACCAAAAAAAACTATTACCAGTTTTTCCAATTACATCTGCTAATATTTTATATTTTTTAACTCAAAATTATTATTTTTAAGACACATAAAAAAACTAATATAAAATTCTTATAAAGTTTATTTATTAATATTTTTTTATTTTAATCCAAGTAAATTGGTTTAAAAATTAAAAATATTGGTTTTACTTTTATTTATTCATATTGATATTAAAAAGTTAATACAGTGTTTAGCAAAATGTATCTATTAATACTTTTTTATCTCTTAATCTAAAATTATTAGCAGTTTATTAATAATGTTATAACTGGTTCTAAAATTTAATATTTAAATTTAAAATTGTAAGTTTTGCTAAATTCTATATATATTCTTTAATTACTAATTTTAGTTTAAAATCTTAATATATCTTTTAAAAACAAACAAAAAAAAACAAATATTTATTAAATTTTTTAAAATTTAATATTAAAAAGTTCAAATTTTTGCATTAGCTACAAAATAATTTTTTATAAAATAAGTAGTTATTATTTTTTTTTAATTCTAAACTGTTATATCAAAGATATCAAAAAACAATGCTATAATTTACTAATAATCAAATTACTAACAAACTTATTTTACTAACAGATTATTTAATTTATTATTTAAATTTGTTTTTGATTATACAATATAATTTTAATAAGTATTATATATTAATATTATATAATCTTTTTATTGTTAATATTTAAAAAAAAATATTATATAATCTGAAAAAGTTGTTGTAAATTTTGTTTAACTAGTTATTTTATTAACAAATAATTCTAATTATTGTTATTAGAATTAAAGCTAAGGTTAGTATTGTCTAAACCTAATTAGATTACAAAACAATTTACATAATTAGCTTTTAATTTTCAATTTATTTACTAAATTACATCTATAAAAAATCTATTATTAGACTTTTAATTATATTTTGTACAAAATATAATTAAAAGTTTGATAATAGATTTTTTATAGACAGCATTTAGTAAATAAACTAAACATTAAAAATAATAGGTTTTTCTTTAATAGCACTTATATAAAAAGCAAAAAAAATACATAAATTTAACTAAAATATATTATATCATATATTGCTTATTACATTAAACATGATACATTAACTTGATATATTTGTATTAAAATGTAATTATATAAAATTTTATATATTAACTTGCAATTAAATATATATATTAATATATAAAGATTTATAGAATATATTTATAAAAAAATTTAATTAAGAGGTATAGCAATCTAGTAAAATGGTTAGGTTGTTAATCCTTCAAGTGATAGATTAGATATTCAAATCCAGTCAATAATAAAAATTTAGATTATTATCTATGCAATATTCATATTATAATAACTGTTACTAATGATTGAGTTAGGATATCTGTAATGGTAATTATACCAGCATAATTGGCAGTTCATAGAGCATTTGTATAAGTATAATATTATACAAAGAAATGCAGATTGACAATTGAATGATGCAAATACTAGATAAGTTCTTGTAGCCATGTAAATCTATTAAATTAAATAACAAAAAGTTCATTTAGAAAGATCTGAATAGAGAGATAGTCAGATCCATAACAGCTTTACTGTAAAGACTAAATAAAGAAAATGGATACCAAGGTTATAGTATCTGAATGACTAAAAATATTCTAATTAAAAGTCTCAGAGGTATATTATTTAAAAATTTTTAATTTTTTTTAAATTTTAAATTTTTTTTTTGAAATTAAGATAAAGTTTTGTTCATATCTTTATAATTTGTTAAAAATGCCTCTAAGAACTTTCCTGAATATAAATTACAAAATTTATTTTAATTACAAATTTATTACAAGAGTAAAACCTAGACTATAGAAAGAAACTAATTGTTATCTATCTAATTTATCTGCAACCTAAATCTACTAGAGTAATTAAAACTTATTTAAATTTGATAGTATAAAATGTTGTTTGTAAAGTAACTATAAAGTATCTAATAATCAAGCTATATATTAATTTTATATAAAGCATAATTAAGTAATAAGCAAGTATTTGGATTAGTATGTTTTAAGTTTGATAGTCTGCATAAATTGCAAGTTGTACTATGTAATTAATATCTGTTAACATAGTATATATTATTATAATTAGTTTAAGTAGGTCTTTTTTGTTTATTTTTGGTATATTGTAAGATGTTGTTATTTTTTTTCTATTATGATAGTTTTGTACAATATGGTTTTTATATTTGTTTATAAACTTTTTGAGACAGCTTATATAGAAGTTTTGTAGTAATATTTTTTGCTTTTATTTATAATTGTGTGAATAGTCTAATTGATAAAATAAGACTAATAAATAAATATTCTTGTAATATTGTATATATGTTAGTTTATTGAAGATTTATATTACTGAAGGAAAGACTATTGTTTTTGTAAGTATTTCTTGTAGTTTATTAATTTAAATACTAGTAATATTAGTTATATAGGTAGTGTTTCTGTAATTGTTTCTTAAATAAAGTTTGTAAGAAGTAATAAATTTAGGCAAAGTATTCAATATAATAAATGTTCTGGTATATGATATATAATACAGTTATTGATAATTATTACTTCTGAATATAGATAGGTTAAGATGATAAAAAAGAGTTAATAATATGTTAAGTTGCAGTTTAATTTTAAAGATTTAGTATTGTTAAGTGTAAAGTTTGTATATAGACTAGTTTTATTAATATTGTTATTTAAGTATTGCCAGATTTTTTCTTAGTTAATTTGTAAAGATAAAAGAATAATATTGTTTATTCAGTTTTAAGATAACTATATAGCTATTATTTATATATTGCAAATGTTTTTAATTGCTCATCTGATAAGTTTTTTAATAGTATATTAATTGTATTATATAGTATATAAAGAATTGTAGATGTTGTTATATCATAAATTTAGAAAGTTTATAGAGTTATAGTTTAATGCAAGCTTATCTGCTTTATTATTAAATATATTGTTTTTTTTAAAATATTATTAATGAGGCCATGCCTTCAACTTTATTGAAATTCAATTGAAGTTTTTACAAAGAAAAGCTTCCTTTTAAATTACATATGAAGAATAAAGACTCAAACATATAATCTGCAACCTAAACTTACAAGAGTAGCCAAGGTTTACTTAGATTTAGGTATTAGTAATAATATAAGAGAGAGGGGTATGATATTTAATCCATTGAATAATCCAAAGGTCAATTTTGGTAATAATTTGTAATACTGAGATAGGAGGTAAACTGGAAGAAGAAATATGAGTTAAATTTGTAATAAGTGATTTTAAGACTATGCAGAATGTAAAATGCAATATGGAATCTATATTTGTTTGTATATTTGTTGGTTTAAATGAAGAAGAAGTTTAATAAAAAGAAAGATAGCTATATGGTATAAAATAGAAGTATTATGAATAGTAGAAATAAGGTCAATAGAAACTAAACCAGATAAGTATACATTATTCGGCAGATGACAAAAAATAACAGGCAATTTTTTTTTGTCAGAGTTAAGTCACTCTATGTGCTGCGTAGCAGCACATGAGTGAAATTAACTCTAATGAAAAAAAAAATCGCCTGTTATTTGTCATACATATGCCAAATAATGATGTTATTGAATAGTTAATATGACCATGTGAAGTTTTTTCTGTGATGTTTTGCAAAACTGATTACATAATTTCATGCAAAAAATATCATGACAAAAAAATTCACATGATCATATGAAATGTTGAATAAAGTAGAAATAAGAGATGGCATGTGTAAGAAGTTATACAGTTTAAAGCTATTAAGTGTAAGAATTTCTTGATGTAATTTAGAAACAAGGTTGTGGGACATGTCAAGAGCAGTAGCATTTAAAATGCAATTAAGAGAATTAGAGATTAAGTAATAGATTATTTAGATAGAAGAACAATGAGTTCAGTATAATAAAGAACAAGTTTGGTTGCATTGATAACAAAGAAGAGAATAAGAGGAGTTATGTTTGTAAAAAATGTGAGGAACAGGT